CCGGGCTGGGGATTTGAACCCGCCACCTTAGGTGTACATGGCTGGCGCCTTAGCCACTTGAGCCACAGGCACCGAGCCACCAGTACAGTTATTTCTTAATTAAGATATATACATTTTCTTAGACATAATATAATCGCACACAGTATAGTGTAAAGATAGCCTTTATATGCATTGGGAAGCCAAAAAAACCTTGTGCTTCACTTGCTTTTTTTGCAATATTCACTTTACTGTAGTGGACTGGAATGAACCTGCAATTTCTCTAAGGTACGCAAGGGCGGCACAAAGGAGTAAGGTGCTGGCCCCATATGCCAGAGGTGGCGGGTTCTAACTCAGCCCTGGCCAAAAAAAAAAAAAAAACACTGCAAAAAACTCTCTAAGATATGCCTGTATATAAATCCAAGGCACTGTCTAACTAATGAAAGGCAAAATCATTTTTTAATCAATTCTCAGAATGATAATGAACAAACAATTTTCTGAAATCATCCTCAAACTCTAAAATCACCCATTTAAAATAAAACATTACAGTTGTGGCTAAAGGGCCAAAGGAAAATAGAAAGTAATGACAAATATTTAAATATTTTAAGCCAGGCTGCCTTTGCCAAAATTATCTACCTATATAGATAATTCTGGAGGGTTAATTATTTAATGGAATTTGAACCAGAAATTTGAACACTGGCTTTGAGTTTCCAGTTCTCTGGGTGCAGAAAAACACCCACTCCCCTTTATTTATCTGAGGTTCTCTCTTTCCCTACGTTCCTCGCCTTAGTAATCATCATGAACAAGTTGGAAGTTCATGTTTATAGAAAAGGACTGCAAAATGTTCTATTTATTCCAACCCTTGCCTAGTACAGAAATTGCTTCAAGGATTCTCTGGCTGTGAATTTTTGCTGAACAGCTGAACTCACAACAGGAAGGGACTTTACTGACCAAGTCACTAAAACCTAGTGCCCAAATAAACTGGATGCACTAATGTTTGAAAGAATACCAAAAGATTAAGGGCGATCCAAAAATCTACACCTGACTATTAAGAATTGAAACATCATGGCCAGGCGTGGTGGCTCACAACTGTAATCCTAGCACTCTGGGAGGCTGAGGCAGGTGGATCTCTTGAGCTCGGGAGTTTGAACCAGCCTGAGCAAGAGCGAGACCTTGCCCCTACTAAAAAAATAGAAAAACTAGCCTGTAATCCTAGCTACTTGAGAGGCTGAGGCAAGAAGGATCACCTGAGTCCGGAAGTTTGAGGTTATGAGCTTGGCTGATGCCACAGCACTCAACCCAGGGCAATTGAATGTGACTCTGTCTCAAAAAAGAAAACAGAAAAAGGAAAAAAAACCCCAAACAAAAAACATAAAAACATCATCATTCTATAAAAGCATCCTCTCAGAGAAATTCCTGTTTTTCTTATTTAAAAAGTATTTTTATAACATGTAACTTAAAAAAACTCACCACATTCGATCTCCTCTTCATTGTCGTCCTCTAAGATATTAGCGGGGGCAGTGGATTCCCCAGCTTCCATCATGCTTCTCAGAGCTTCAAGCTGTTCTGTCAGCAAACACACACAAGAAAGAGAGTGATGGATGCTGGGCCACTTACAAAACCTGGGCTTTGAGACAGGCATTGAGAAGAAGGAAAGGAAATACACTGTTTAGAAACCCACTGGCCACAGTCCCGAGGTTCAGCAGTGGTCACCGTCTCACTCATTCTTGGTGACCTTGGCCTTGCAAGTTACACGCAACAACTGGGTTACAGATGACACATGATGGAGAACGGCTGGGACATGGATGAACTACCTCAAATTCTAGCAACCAGGTTTGAACTGGGGCCAAATACGTGTGAAGGATTGCAGGCTAGAGAACATAATCCCATAGTAAGGCGAAACTGGCACAGACCAAGGATGTATGGACAGTAATTATGCTGAAGACAGAAAAGAGATAGGCACGTTGGAGATCAACAGAAGAACTTCAGGAAGAAAATGTTTGCAACGGATACAACCAGGCTTATGGTTCCTATACATAAATAAAACTCTTCTAAGTCAGTAAGGTAAAAACAAATGAAATAATGAAAATGGAAAAATACGTAGGGACAAATCATAAAATCAAAGAAACGAGTTATCAAAAGCATGCAAATAAAAAAATTAAGATGTTGTTTTTCCTTTCTATGTGTGCCCAGCAGCCCAATAGCCAGTGCTAAGTCTATCGCAGGGAAGTAGACACTCTCCTACATCACTGGTGAGAGTGTAAACTAGAGAAACTTTTCTGAAAGAAAGCACAAGATACATCACAATATAAAATTTATATAAATGGTTTGGCCACATAACTCTAATTATACCAGTTAATCCCAAGGATCAGGTTGTTTAAATATACAAAATGGACGTTCCAGTATGTTTAGCATTGTTGTTTGTATAGTAGTGAAAAGTCCATCAACTTGGGGCTGGTTAAATTATACTACAATAAATACATATTTGAATTAAAATTAGTTATGTGGATTTATATCCTATTAGATGTAAGTATATTTGAATTAAAAAAATTAAAAATCAGTATAATTCACATGATCTCAGTTTTGCTAAAAATGTATGTATTTATATAGACATGTACATGTACATACACTTATCTATAGGATATAGATATGGTCATATAGAAGTTGGTGCTATTTTGTTACTTTCCCATTATTTTTTCTTGTTTTAATTTTTCTGTGGCCTTCTTGATTTTGAAATAAAAATAAACTGTCATTAGCATAATTTTGAAATTTTCATTTAGAGTACTTGGGGGAAAAACAAGAATCATAGCACTATACCGCTATTTGATACTACTAATTCAAATATTCTCCCCCAAATTTTTTCTTTATTTTTTTTATTACGTCAAATACACATAGACCATGAATACATGCATGCATATGTGGGGTACAATGCGCTGATTTTTTTTATACAATCTAACGTGGTTACATTAAACCACCTCATTTACTCGATTATTGTGCCAAAACATCTATGTTCTACAGTTCACAGATTTGACTTGTACCCTTGTCATATGTTCCATAGGTGTGATCCCTCCTTTTACCCTTCCTCTGTCAAACCTCCCCCTCCCCTGACCTCCCACTCCAAAAAAATATTTTCAAAGAAAACATCCTGGGAAAATAAAGGGGGAAATGTGTATATCAAATCAGTTGCCTCTTACTCTCTCCCTCTTCACACGTCTATAGATTCACATATCCAGATTTCTCTACCATCCTTAGGTGTGTATGGCTCTCACAGGCAAACTGCAAAGGGAAACTTCTAAGAGGACTAAGAGTGTATAAAATTATAAAATGCAAGTTCTTCTATCTTGATAAATTCTAAAGTGCTTCCTCTTTCTTCTCATCTTTCCCAGGAACCCCTCCAAATTCTGGCATATAGAATATATGAGTATACGTTTCCCATTGATGTGGAAACTAAACTTAAACAGAAATGTGACCTCATTGCTCTGGAACGTACACGCTACTACAGTCCATCACTACTATGTCCCCCCAACACGCCAAGTCAGTGGTGTTAAGAGAAAGTTCCTTCTAGAAGAGCTCAATTGTCCAAACACATTATGTATGCTTCTATTAGGTATGTATGTGTACTTGACTTACTTTTTTCAACTTCAGGCTTCAGCCGCTTATTTTTGATCAGTATTTTTCTTTTGAGGTCATTGGGGGATGGCAAAGGCCTGCCTGGTTCGAGCTAGAGGAAAACAGAAAGAGCTGCAATCACCAAGAATTGTGCTGCTCTATTCTCATTCCCCGCCCAGAAGGAGCAGGGGAGGCCGGGATGTCATGTAAACTAATACCGCTAGATGGCAGTCAGCACAGCGCTATGCTTTCACTCCCGCGCGCAGAGCCCACCCAGCCAACTGGATCTTGAATGCAGCAAAAGCTTAAAATCCTCATAGGCTCCAGCGCCTCTCGGACAGCCCCAGGGGAGCCGGGCTGGTCTGGCATGCTGTGCAGAGAGGGGTTTCTGCTCACTGCAGGCCTTGCACCTTTTAACTACCGGTAAACCCACTGTGACATCTGGGGTCCAAATTGGCTTTTCCAAGTGAGGGGCTCCCCTAGTGCTCCCCAAGTGCAGGGTAAGCCAGTAACCCTGTCTGTTCAGCAGGCAGATCCAACCTCGCTGCTTGGGATTGTCATTTTGTGGCTGAGTATGGATCACGAAGGAAGTGGCTTCCTTACTGGACTCTATTCTGGCTTCCTTTGCTGGGATTTTCATCTGCAAAGGACGTGTCTCTGTATGCTACTGTCCCCCTGGTCCACAGAAATGTCCTGCACCTAGTCATCCAGGCCCCATCCCCCCACCCATCCATTCACATACCCACCCCCACACCCTTCCAAGCATCTATTTATTTTCAAAACTCACTTTTTTTCCTACTTTTTACACGCAAGGCACTGTGTGTTCTTGTATTTGTCTTGTTCAAATGAAACCCTTTCCGGAAGCACTGCTTCCTTCAGGGAACCTGGTGGACAGCCCATTCCCCAGTGATCTATCTTGCACCACGACACCTCCAACAAATATTCGACACTTCACAGGCTGTCTTCCCTTTTAGTTAACATTTACATTCATGTCCTGGTCCAACTCACAAAGATTGAGAGCGCTTTAGCTGAAAGAGTAGTACGTCTCATTCCCATTTATCTAATACTATGCTTCCCACAACACCTTTCATGGGTGTGCACATCACTTCACTGATATAGGGTTTTTTCCACCAAATCAAGCATCTTAACAAAACCAGGAAAATAAACAGAGGGCCTAGGTAAAAACACATAAATAAATAAAACAATTCAGGGATACTTTTTAGTATCTCATAGATATCAGTCTAGTCCCATAGAATTAACCTCAGAGACATGGATTGATGCACCTGTAATTTCTTAGGAAGGAAACTCTAACAGAGGAGTGAGAAAGCAAGAAAGGAGGGCAGGCAGCCTGTCCAGGGTGTGTTATCAAGCCAGTTATCACTGTGGACAGTGAGGGCTCCATCCGGCTGGAGAGCCCTGGGAGGCAGAGGAAAACAGGTGCTCGGAGTTGTGGCACTTCCAGAGGGACGAAGCATGGGGATAATTCTCTGACACTGCAGGCCTGTCTTTCACATGTGAGTAGAGCTGCATGTCAATAGTGGGGTGAAATATTTATCTATCATAGAGTGTCTTCTGCTTCGGTTTCTTTAGCTCACTTGCTACTCACAACATTTATGATCTTGGAGGTCGGAGATCTTTATAAAAACATGATGCTTTCTCTGGAATAATTATATACAAAAAATTGTATGCAATTTAGAATGAGTTCATAGAGCCCATCAAGCCTTTCTATGGACCACAGGAAAAAAAAATAAGTTCAAAATGTATATATGACATTACCCAAGTATTTATCCTGGAGTTGGGAACTTGAACTTTCCATAGCAACAGGCTCCCCTGGGATCTGAACCCTAGCTACATATTGATTAACCTCAAGGGCTTTTAAAAAACCACCAACTTTAGGAATGACTGTGGATCAATTAGATCAATCCTGTGTAGGGCCCCGATATAGGAGTTTTTAACAGTTCCCCCCAAGACAATTCCAACATGTAACTAAAGTTGAGAATAACTGCTAAATCTCTCTTAGCCTGGAAATTTTAGGACTGAGAAACTATCTGAGAAACTCTAAGACCCCACAGTCTTCTAACTGAAACTGAACCTGATGTTTATTTCAGATTTTACAGATGTTTATTTTTATGCAGCTTTCTCTACACCCCTCTGAAGTATGATGAGAGCCTTTTGTACCAAAGAATATAAATAAATATGAAGATCTTTAACATTCACCCTTCAGTGCTACTTGACCCTGCAGAAATGAATTTCAAAACAAATCCATTCATGCTAGAAATATGGTTTGCTAAAAATACATACTGGATGCGATTCAAGTGCTTGTTTCAACAGGAGATCCCCAAATAGATCTTCACAATATTTGGACATTTTGTACTGTTGATATTTGCTGGAGAGAAAGAAGTGGCATTTGTAAATTCAAACATCCATTAACTGTCCAAGAATAAGAAACACCCAATTCCTAGGCAATTAAAGACTCCCACTCTGCAAAATACATGATTGTCCTCTTAATGATAATGTGAGATGTATTTTTAAATGCCACAATTTTAACTGGCATAATTAAAAAGGTGGATTTCTGCCCCAAACTAAGAGTTGGTAAGAAGAATAAAAAAAAAAAAAAAAAGTCTTTCGAGTTACTAAAGTCTGATTTCACATATACTGCCAAATCTTCCCACTCAATCGAAATTTAAACAAGGATTCCCAGTCTGTGACCTTTGTTTAGAGCAAGCATCTAAACAAAATTGGAATGACTTCCCGTTTTTGTTTTGCATAAGACTATGTGTCCCCACTGGAGGATTACTTAGAATTTAGCACTTTACAAAACAAAAAACAAACTATTCAGCTATTTTAAAAAAAGATGTAAAGCAGGATAGGGAGTGGGGGGTTGGAGACAATACCACTTAATGGGTTGGAGCAGAATGAATCCTTATACCTGCAGTGATTTTCAAAGGAGAGAATTACAGGATATTCTGATGTGACAAACGCAGTTTCCTTGATGGCTTGAATTACATCCTTTAAAGATAAAGAGTGTTAATGAGAGAAAAGAGCAAAACCTTGAAAGCCCCTGCCTGAAACTATTCAGGGGACTATTAATTGAGCCTTTCAGGAAGTCAATTCTGGCAATTCAGAAATCTCTATAGGTTGAGTCCCTGTGTTTAGAGCCAGGGTGGGGTTAATGACAATTTTTTTTTTTTCAAAGCTATCTTCTAGTTCTCCAGAATTATAGTGCTATTAACTTACAAGAGGTTTCACCTAAATGGCACGCCAGTTCTTTGCTTGGTCATGGGCCACATCAGGGGTGCAGAGTTCACCTTTCTTCTGTAGGAGCAGGAAAGCTTTTGACACAGGGATTTTCACTATAGGACACTCTCCAATTCCCCCCACATCCAGGAGAATTGTGTTGATAGCAACCTTAGGACCACTGGAAGCTTGTATTTGGGAATCAGTTCCGGCCTACTAGTGTGACACTGTTTCATATTAGATGGTGAAGAGGGCTAGTTGCCTCTTTGGTTGGGCAATATATGAGATCAAACAGGACAGTGTTCTGGATCCCCGTCTGAAACGTGGAGCTCCATCACTTGTAACATCTTTTGGATGAGCCGCGCGCATCTACCTCCCTCCGCCTCTATCTCCATGAACTAGGACAGACCCTAACCAATGGCTGTCCCCTGTCTCGGCTCAGCTTTCACACCAACACTCTGCAACCACAGCATCACATCTGGTAAAAGTCCCCAAATTAATTCTTACTGGTTTTAGGCTAATCATAGAGCAAATCTCTTCACTCAGTTAATCAGGAAAATAGTTTATAATTGTTATCTAGAGACATCTATTTGAAATGATAATACCCAAGGTTAGATAACCTTGAAATATTTTCCTACCATACTATGGCTGAAGTGGTTGTTAGTTTTAGTTATTTAGTTTAGTTTAGGTTGTTCCAGTTAATCTTGATTAAAGTTTCTTCCCAGGCTGAAATGATTGTGATCTTGATTGTCAACACTTGAGCTGACCAACAATTATTCCTTAAGGAAAAATGTGGCTCTGTCCTTGGGGGCTCTTTGCCCTTGTGGATCTCTCCTTAACTGAGAGTTCAGCCTTCTTTCAGGCACATCCTTTCCTTATAAGGCTCCTCAATTCTCCAGAGAGCAAATACGCCTTCCTCTCATTTTGGCTAGTTATGCAAATTCATGGCCTCCCACTTGATATATTCTATGTACTTCCAAAGAAATATAACCTTGAATTCACTGCTAGTCGAAGCCACCAGTATCTTGGCTAAGAGAAACTATACATATAGAGCCTGGGTGTCTGCATTTTTAAAAACACCCCTGGTGACTTTTCACATGTAGAGAGAGAGAAGAACCATTGCTCCTGTTATTGTAATATTTAAAATTTATCCTGAGTTATCACAAACCTGACATTAGCCAACCACAGAGTTTGATTTTTTTTTTTTTTTTTCAGTTTTTTGCCGGGGGCTGGTTTTGAACCCGCCACCTCCAGCATATGGGGCCAGCGCCCTACTCCTTTGAGCCACAGGGGCCCCCTGAGTTTGATATTTTGGACTTGTCTTTTAGCAGGATATCGTGGGATCATGGAGAAACCAGCCTTCAGATTAGACTTTGAGGTCAAAAGGCCGTTAGCAAACTACAGATTCTTCTCTATGAGGAGTCTCAAGAGAAAATTTCTCACTGGGAGTAACTGTGCTTCTCTGAACCAACCACTGTGTTTGTATTTTATGCACCCTGTCTTCCCTTCACACTGAATTCTAGAAAGCTGGAGCCTGATTTATGGTATGGCTTGCAAGATCACAGGATTTCTTAAGCACCCATAACCTCTAACCTTATCATCTTATTCTCTTATCCTTTTTATAATCTTTTTATTTTCTGTAGTCTATTTATTTTTTTATGCCACCCAGAAGTCCTTCAGGAATAATGCAAAGTAAGTAAGCAAATAACTAGATAGGAAAATGAAAGACAAGGGAAATAAAACTAGGTAAACTCTGCCTGAGAAACCCCTGGAAATCAGGAAAGTATCTGGACGGGGACATTAAGGAGAGAAGACATTTGTCTTGACTGTCTGCTCAAAACTGGAAGAGAGGAACAAGAAGGAACAGTGTCTGAGAAAAGGAATACTCTGTTTCCTCTTCTCCATTTCCCTATCTCCTGAATTTTCACGTTGTTTGAAAATTACACATCAGTGTGTAATTTTAAAATTTACCTTAAAAAGGATATCTGTACACATTGCTTTTCCGTGAGTTATTATTGGTTCTTGGTCTTCACCTTTTCCATCCCAACAGTCAAGTTCAACACATCTAGGGACACAGTGAAATTACAATATTGAAACTTTGCAGTAAAATAGTGTGTGTGCAAATTAAAAGACATCAACATAAATTGTTTTCTTACATAACAGAAAATGGAATGAGTTAAGCAAATATGATTATTTCATGGGACATACAGCTTAAAATCATAGTTTACAACTCTTCAGGTTGGCATCATCAAAAAGGGATTGTCTAAACGTGATTGAAAGAGTCTTAAGACACACACCAAGCAGCACGGTTCTGGATGAAATACTATTTGTGGCAAAGCTTCAGTAAAGGATAATTTTGGGATAACTGGGGAAATCTGAATATGAGCTGGGTTTTAGATGACATTAAAATTAATTTTCTAATTTTGGTGGGAGGGATAATGTTACTTTGGCCATATTAAAAATGTTCTTAGTGTTTAAGTGATTCACACTCAAGTATTCAGAGGAAATGTGTGAATGTTAATAATGACATAATTAATTTCTTTTAAAGAATTTCCATATCCATTTGGTGCCCATAGCACGGTAGTTACAATATTGAAACTTTATAGTAAAATAGTGTGTGTGCAAATTAAAAGACATCAACATAAATTGATGGGGGCTGGTGGGTTCAAACCCGGCCCAGGCCAGCTAAAGCAACAATGACAACTGCAACCAACAAAAATAGCCGGACATTGTGGCGGGTGCCTGTAGTCCCAGCTACTTGGGAAGATGAGGCAAGAGGATCACTTGAGCCTAAGAGTTTGAGGTTGCTATGAGCTGTGATGCCACTCTACCAAGGGTGACACAATGAGACTCTGTCTCAAAAAAAAAAAAAAAAAATTTCCGTATATTAAAAAAGTAAGGTTAAAAAAAAGTCCTGCTTAATTGATAACCAAGGAAAAAATTATGTTGTAACTACATGTCTTATTTTTCACTTTCTAATTTTCAGAGAACTACATTTTTGAAATTTTACATTAAATAAAGCTAAATTTACAGGTGTCTATAATTAATAAAAAAATGAACATGCCTTCTTAAAATATACATGTTTTCTCTTTTAAAATTTTTAAAGCATATTTTAAGTTTAAGGTAAAAATATCTTTTGATCCATAGGACAGATTCAGACCGTTCTGAAGAGACTGTCCTTCCTTCCTCAAGGTTAAATAAACGACTATTACAATCGATTAGAGAGAAGAATGAATTTCCTTTTCACTCTGATTACTATTTCCTATTTTTCAGAGACAAGTAAAAGGGCATCACCGACAAATAACAAATTGCCATTTTGAGTTTCTGACCTGCAACCTGCCAGAAGAATCTGCCTGTACATTTCTACCGAAGACTTCCCTCCGAACTGTCGGCCAGTGAGATAGGTGTTGTGGGAAGAACTGATGAAGTAGTGGGCCAGAGGGTGGTCCATTTCTTGGTAAAGTTCTAAGCGATCTAGGAAGACTGGGGCATTTTCATCTGACATCAGGTATCTGCAAAACCCATCACTTGACATGAGGCCTAGAGGGAAAAGAACATCTTAGTAGCACTTGTAACTCTGAGGATGCACATCTCAGGCTTTTTATTCTCGGACGCGGGGGCAGCTTAAATAGTAAGAGTAAAAACAACTTCATGGCCCCTTTCCCTAGAACCTTCGTCTTTCAGAATTTGAGTAAAATAAGAATTGTGCATTAGAAGAACACCATACATCCCACAGATAGTGGCATCTGCTTTCATGTCCTTGACAGCACAAGGACACAGACCCAAGAGCAGAAACGCAGTGGCAGGAGCTATGGAAACAAGGGCAGAGGGGACCCGTATCTAACTCTGCCTCTGCTGCCCCCTCTTTTAAGCCATTGGATCTTAGCTTCCTCTTCTGTCAAGTGGGGGGAAATGTTGGCCCTATCTGCTTTCCAGATCAAATGAGTACATATGTAAGAGACCTTTGACTGTGGGAACCAAACTAATTAACTCAAGTCAAACTACCTCCTTTTGTTGTTTACTCAGAACAACAGGCCACCACATACCAAGGACCTTATCACATACCTAGGTGTTAGGCAAGCCCCCTGTGCACTCAGCCCACATCCTGACCCCCTCCCCTTTTTGCACTCAACACTCTACTCTGCACACACCCACCCCACTTGCGACCTTTATCCCTTCCTTCTCATTCGCTCATCTGAGACAAAGAAAACTCTCCCTGAGCCAATCAACCCTGAACACGACCACCCTATACCTGTCAGTTTGGAACAGAAATAATTTACCTACCAATAAGGGGATGGGGTGGGATGGACTAATAGGAGGGAAGAGGGAGGTATAAAGGGACTTTTTGGATAGTCTGTAAGGGCTATTCCCACTTTTACTTAAAGGGGCAGCCCAGGCTCTCAGCTTGAATGAATAAAATTCCTCGTGCCTTTGCAGCGATGTTCGGACTCTCAGAGTGGTGCTTGAATTGAATCTGGGGGCTTACATGACAATCAAAGTGGAAGCAGTTTTCAGGCATCGTTCTCACTGGATTGCAGAAGGGACTTTTCTTGGTGACCATGGGTCCTCTGAATTTAAACCATTCCGTTTCCGATTTTATCTTAAAGTCAGGGTATGGGACTGGCGAGAAAGTGGATAGTGGCCTTTGAAGCGTGGCCCCCAAGGCCACCGTTCATCTCAATCAGACCTTTCTGACCTGGGCCAGGGCCCATGAGGCATTTGTGGGAGAGTCAGTCAACAGGGACACGCCTCTCCTTCTCCACCAGTCATCCCCAGCCCCAGCTGCACGCTTTCTAATTTAAGGATTTGCAAGTTATGAACTGATTTCAAACTTACAGAAAAGTACAGGTCATAGTACAATAATTAGCCATGGGCCTATACTACACCTTTGTATGACCTTAATATGTTCCTTATTTACTTTCTATGCCTTAAAGGAACACATAATTACCGAGGCCACTGCAACGCCCTGTGTGCCCTACACCTCCATCCCTTTTCACCATCTTTCTGCTGCGTAGATAACCATGACCCTAGTTTCGGTGTTTGACATTCCCAAATGGTTTCGCCACTTTACCCCATATGCATTTATCCTAAGATCAGGAGATTGGAATGCTGATGACAGGCTAGCCCACTGTGTGCATCTGCAGCTTGCTATTCTAGGATGGAGAGATTGGAATGCTGATGACAGGCT